ATTATCAAAAGAATGTTGGTTTTTTTTTTTAAAAGCTAGGTATTTAGACGTCAAAGAAGCAAGAAAAAAAAAAAAAAATTGCCCCAAATTACGTAAGTATGGGATAAACACAACCGTTTTATTTGCTCATGTGAGATGATCTGCAAATCGGGCGTTACTTTTGATGGCTACTGTACCTATACCATTTTGGTTACAAAATCCAAGATTATCTTGTCTATTCGAATTGCCACCTTCAGCAGATTTCAAGTACCATTCAAATGTCTTTTTTTCATCTTTATCAATACTATTCCATTTTCGTAGCAGGTTCCAACATTATTTTGTCCATCAGGATTGCCATCCTCAGCAGATTTCAGATATAATTCAAATTTAATTCTTTCAACCATGGGAATTTGAGCTGAAGATTACGTTTAAAAAAATCATTCGTATCACTCATCTTACTATATACATATGCACGTACAGTTGCCTCACATGCACCAATAGCGATAGTATTTTAAAAATTGATCAAAATTTCGATCATGTGTAAAAAACGAAAGATTAAAGGTAACATTGTTATTAGAATTGGTGTTAAAGCAATGATATATATGTATTAAAATTTTGCAAGAATTTTTTTTTGTTGTTAGAACATAAAAGGCAGTTTAATTAGCGATTTTTCAAATTTGATTGAATGTCACACGTGATCAATGAATTTTTTCATACTTCAAAACATAGACATTAGATAAGGAAATATTCAGATTAAGCAAACAAAATCTTAACACAGCAAATGGTTAAACCTAGAATATCATGTGTATGATATTCTATATATTTTCCCTTAAAAAAAGCTACAATTGCGTTGAAAATTCTGACTATACATAAACTAAAGATCTTCAACTAAAAAAAAACAATTCACGATCTCATAGAAATTATTTAAAAAAAAATAAATGGTAGGCAAGCATGAATTCATAGAAAATGAATTTTTTAATTAGTGAAAGCTTTGGCTCAAAAAAAAAACGCCTTCTATAAAAAATAATCACTGTCAGATTGAAAATGAATTATCAATAAATTTTCCGAGCATATATCATTAACAATACCTACATTTATCGGCGGTATTTTTGGAGCTTTCATTAATTTCACTACTTTACATTGACATTTCATTTGGTGATTGAATCTTTCCTTCAGAGTTTTGGTTTCTGTTAATATAATCTTTATACGCCATATTTGCACGACGAAGTTCTTCAATTTCTTCATTTTTTTTTCGATCACTGAGTTCTTTTTTTTTGTTTGACCATTCAAAGACTCCCGCCATGACTCGGAGTTTTTCTGTATCTTCGATAAGGTTGGCTTTTTCATTTTGCAGCCTCAGCTTTTCGGCTTTTAGTCTCATTATTTCAAGGTCCTTTTCGTCAATCATGTCCTGAACTTTCTTATTGAGTTTAATTAGTGCTTCCCTTTCTTCCGTGAGTTCTTCGTTTTCTTTAATGAGTTCTTTATTTAACTTTTCCAGACGTTCGATCTCACTTTTGCACCGATTTTTTTCTCTTTCAATAGACCGTTTTTCTCTATTAAACTCAGCAACGCTTATAAGTTCATCTTCTACATTGGATTTATATATTTCGAAGATTTCAATTACGCGGTCAAATACTCCGTTTAGATTTGCATAAGATCGTTTTTTGCAACGATTTAAATATTTAATATGTTCGCTAAGTTCGAAAAGAACAGCTTCTTTGTCAATTTTAGGTTTTCTCGGCATTGTATCGACTAGATCGGAAATTTGAAAAAAAAAACAATCAATATATATTAAACTGAAAATCAATGTTACACAATCAATAATTGACATCATAGAATATTTTGCGTACCAGTAAATAAAACTTAATAATTACGATTAAGTATAAAAAAAAACATGTAAATAAAAAATTTGCTTTAAAAAGAAAATGCTAAATTATGATTTATAACTTACTAAATCTCAATGAATAATTTCTTTTCCGTGCAAGTATGTGTACATCAATCCATCTGTAATTTCTTTTGCGGCTTGAATAAGTTCGCACAATAAAGGCCTTCTTTTTGCTTTTTTTTGCAAGTGTTCACGCAATGTTCCACTGTTAGCGTATTGTAACACCAACATAAAATTTTTTGACTGCGGATCTATAATATTGGATCAAAATTTATTACGGTAGACAAAACATCCCTAAAATTCAAATCCTATCTTACCTATTCCAAAAGTTTAATAATATTGGGATGATTTGCATTATAGAGATGTGTAAGCTACATAAAATTATGCTATTTGTTACTTAAGGTTTAAAGTAAATGGTATTAACTCATTTGCTGTCAACCATTTCGCCGACAGCCCATTCAACCAAATAGTTCAGTCCGATTTAGAGTCAATCGGCAAAATTTACAAAATCTGGTTGGTTAAAAATCAGGATGCTGATGAAATTAATTTCACAGATTTCACTAATTTAACATCAATTTCATCGATAGTGAAATTATTTCACTGCTCTGGCTTAATTTCGTCAGCATCTTTAGCTAAAAGTTATAATTTATGACACACCTCAAGAGTGAGTTTTCTGAGCGTTTCTTCATCCACATGTAAGTTATTAAATAAATAATAAATTAATGAAACAAATATATAATTTATATTAAAATCACAGACCGTTAATTAACGATAGTATCGAAATATTCAGAAAAATTGGTAGAAGCTTTGGAAA